TCTATCTATCTATCTATCTACCTATTTATCTATCTATCTATCCATCTATCACTCGTAGGTTGATAAATACGGTTGCGGTTAGGTTATACCTTTTGAGATCGACAGAAATCAGGAGAGAGTTTGACTGTTTTGTTTACTCTCTCGGAGTTGTATGACAGTGGTTGCTGTTACGTTTTGAAACGCGTTCCGCGGCAGATAGTTTTGACGCGTCAACCCTCTATTTGCATCCTTATGGTCGCACGTTGCTAGGCCTCTATCAATTCATTCCACGATTCCCTGACAGCCTTTGTTTGGACATGTTCGACAACAGCCGATTATTGGGAGAAGTACAGTCATCTTGAGACGTACCGAAATCCTCATTCTTTGGCCACTGGATGAAGTAGGGTTGATCTATTTATTCGTTGCGTTTCGTTTCAAGAGGTGGTTAGGAGGTTTTTGCTTGTATGAAGATATTACTCCATTTGATGCCTACTTCTGTTCAATCACAGGTTTTGAGACCCTTTTTGAAAAGGCCGAAAGTACCCATACCAGAATATGAACAACATGAGACGTACAAACGTATTTAAACTATTACCTAAGCAGATGCTTTTCTGAATGATAAAGGCATACGTGAGATATGAAGTCGACCCTTCTCAACGAAGCTGATTAGTCGTCATCATTTCTGCAGATTTGACTGAAGCTGACACACGCGCTTGTATGGTAGTTTTCAATATTTGCATTTGCGTTCTGGTCTTTAGCGACCAACAGGATAGCACGAGATGGCAAAAGATGAGTTGATAAAGAACAGAGTGTCGGCAGTGCAAGCAATTCATTGGACGGTTGAGTAATTCAGTGAGCTTAGAAATTTACGACAAGATATCCACCTCCAATGCAGGCGGGGTTAGCCTCAGTCTGGCGATATGCTGATTCGCAGTGTTTCTCCAGTAAACTCAACATGGTAGTAATTTACTTATAAGTGGGAATGAGACTGGTGGCATTCACCGTCTCTCGAAGCCAACACGCAAGGTCTTGGCGAGAAAAAAACGGAAAAGAGGCGTGGTGCAAACCAGTAGACGTATAAAGTACGGTGCGTTCAGCCAATATAATATCAGAGCAACGCGCTACCTGGAGTATCTCCAAAATGCTCAGCTTTGTACGGGCAATACTTTTATCCTCAGAATCATAGTGCCATTGTCCACCTAAGGGGAAACGCATAAATAAAGCAAGATTAGTACGTGTGACCACATACATTACGGTGAAAGAAAAATATTAGGCCCCATTTTTCTAACAGGAAGGCTTTCAACACTATCCAGAGATCAAGGTCGCAACCAAAAATTAGGTTATGCTAAGGCACACACCTTGAATAATATGTTTTCAGTGATCGCCATTATAACCACCAATGATAGAGATACACTCAGTTGATTTCGGTGCTTAATTTCTGTGAAACCGTTGGGTAAATCGTTCACTTAAAATAAAATGAGAAGTTTAGGAAGATAAGGTGAACATCATTCACTCTTAGTGAAATTATCAAGGGAAGGGTGCCAAAGTTTTAGAACAGAAATGGGTAAATATACCAGAGTATTGTATTCGACTAAGAGGCTACCAACTAGATTGACCTAGAACTCTTCTAGGACCTTTACGACACAAATGCAATCATCCCGAGGGATAAGCTATGGCTAAGCACTCCGGCTAGGAAGTCGCCCCTCAGATCGATGCAGTATGCATTTCAGAATGAAAGGGATATGAAAACAGCACTGGCTAACCACAAGAAATATGCTAAAAACTGCAAACATTTAATTGTGAACGGAAATGAAGAGCGCAAACTAGGTTTACAAATTTCACTAGCAGACCTCTTGTTTCGGCTACATCAAAATGAGCTGATTGATAAATTTAGACACTCACAAAGTTAAGACAAACACTGATTGATGGTTGATTGATTGTTGGTCTAATGCGAATATGTAGTACATCCCCAGATTGGGGGTAGTCTTACTTGGCGCTCTGTGATTTGGGGCTCACGCGCCCCAAGAGTGGAATAAAGCTGCAATTAGAAATTTTCATTAAAAAGTGTTGTTCATAAAGAATTATATATTAAGCCTCAGCATTTGGGTTGATTAATGGAAGAAAACACAACTCTAAGGGCAGAGTATTTTAACAAAACTCTTTCATTTACTATAGGTATATTTGTCGGAAGCGAAACAAACGGAATCACATAGGGTTTTGACCAGATCGGCACACTGTAACCTTGTTGTCCGTGAACAGGCTATGGTCCTCTCAACTGGGATTTGTCTGGGCGATCAAGTGTAGCATTTTCCTTGACAATCCGAGCAATAGGTTCAGTAACGAATGTCAAGTCTGTAGACAGGGAGGCGTCGACATTTTAGAAACGAGCACACCATGTCATTTTGTGACAATGAAGTTGATTGCATTCAGTTTTCGTAGAACCTGAGAAACTGATAACGTGTTTTAGAAGCATCTGTATTCAGTGACAGACTGTTAAGGCAAATGCTGTATGTACACGCTGTAATCTGACCTCCAAAAATACAAATAACAGGGCCATCCGTTGGCTGGTGCGAATTACCGCAGCCACAAAGAGTTTTCAATAGGAGGGATAATCACTTAGATGGTATAGGTTCGATACGCTGGCTCTGGACCCAAGAATCGCCTCTTTATGAACCGAACAGACTATAAATACAGAACGCTACCGTGCTTCAGATGCACGCCAATTTCGAACCCGATGGATGTGGTTCCACAACCACGTACTGTATTTTTACTCTATGCGGAAGTGATGAAATTAAATAATGTTGACAGTCTTATCGTCTGGAGATCCGAGCGTTTTGAGAACGATTGATAAAGCACTCTTGTCCATTGAGTGGAGGGGTTTTGTGCAATTCACCATTGGATTGCATAGATGTTGGTTCCGTACTCGGAAATTCCATTGCATCTGAAGTGCAGCAGGGATGAGTTTAATTATGTTTCGTTCGCCTTAGAATTCACAGTTTCATTGTTGCCGCTTTGTTCAAATGCATGCGGTGTTTAGCAAGCTAATTGAAATGCAGATGTTGTCTGGCTTATAGAGCAGAGAGGAAGGATCCCTCCCCGGTGGATCATTTTCTGTCGCCAGATTGGTGTGATCGTAGAATCCTTGAACTACTGTGGCCGACACACCATCAGCTGGGTGTGTAACTGGGGGAGGGGCCTCATGCTTCAATATTAATTCACCCGGTTATTGACCTTCGACCTTCAGGCTGCGTGGGTTGATTGTGAGCTTTCATTTGCACAGAACTCTGAGGTAAGTGGGGGAAATATACTGAATCCTTTATGGTGGATTTTTAAATGTTTGGAAATGTGCAGCTGGAATTTTTCCATGCGCATCGAGGCTTAGACTGATCTTGTTGTCCTGGATGTATAAGAGATTCAGTATGAATGTTCCAAGGGTTTTTCACAATGGCCTGAAGACCTATTTAGATACCGCCATTTTACCTAAGCCTAGACAGAAGCGACCAGGATTGGCTTCGAATCACGTACTATCAGTTGCTATATATATATATATATATATATAATTTTATATATATATATATATATAGCAACTGATAGTACGTGATTCGAAGCCAATCCTGGTCGCTTCTGTCTAGGCTTAGGTAAAATGGCGGTATCTAAATAGGTCTTCAGGCCATTGTGAAAAACCCTTGGAACATTCATACTGAATCTCTTATACATCCAGGACAACAAGATCAGTCTAAGCCCCGATGCGCATGGAAAAATTCCAGCTGCACATTTCCAAACATTTAAAAATCCACCATAAAGGATTCAATGCTTCACCCCGCTATTACCGCGTCATGGAGCATATCAATTATCACTCTTTGATCTGTCTCACCGGATGAGTACTTCAGTACTCAGTGATTTGAGTGATTAAACAATGAGATAATCAGTAAGCAGTATAGTGCTATGTCTCAGGCTTTTTCAGGATAAATTACTTGATAACGCTCGGTCTAAAGCTCGCCTTTGAAGGCGGCAACTAGGCCGTAAAGCAAAAGGACGGCGGGGACCATGATCACGATGCGCGTTTCACACGATAATCGCGGAGACGTTGGCAGCAAATTTTATTCCACATTATCCTTTGACTAGTGGGTGCATATATGAGCTTTCCTCTGACGCTTTTCCACTGGTTTTGTAACTGGATGAATGTTGTGTACGGATACGTGAACACCGAACTTATGAACAAGCTGGTGGATTACACATTTCCGCAGTGTGACAAGAGTGAATTTTTTCCGAGTGGGTACAAAATCTGCTATATATAATCTATCAGTACCGGCTCTCTCCTGACTCTGGTTGGCCGTTTCTCCAACCAACCGGAATAAGCACACACGGATGTTCGCTTTACATTTGGCAAATCCAAACTTTACTGAAAAAGATCCGAATTTACTGCATGTAGGAGCCGAAAATCCTATTCATCTGTCTGCAGGCCTGGAGAACAAACAACCTACTGGTTATAGACGTAACATACAACTCATAAGGTTGCTGAAAATTCTTCGACATCTCACGACCAGTTTCGCCATTCTTGGGTCTCATCAATTAGGAGTTATCCCTGATGCAGCACATTCACTTGCTTAAAAACATCATATGCGAGAAATTTAGTTGGGTTCCAGGTAAGTTTTCCGAAAAACCAAAGTTGTTTGCAAGTGTGTATATCTCGCTAAACTACTGGTTAGATTGTTATTGCTAGGCGAGTGTACGATGTCCAACTCCTATGTGCTATCTACTTCTTCATAATAAAATTGAAAGGTTTCGGAAAGCAATATCACACGCAGAAATAATAAAGCGACAAGAAGATAAATGTGGATAAGTTGTGAAAAAGAAATTTACATTCCCAAAAACGAAGTTTGGGGACAGTATTTGGGTGGGTTCGTCAGGCATTGGTGAATGTGGGGTTAAGGTGTAATGTTCCAGATCAAAGGAAATAGGGGAACATTTATGTAAAGTAAAAAAATAAGCAGAAAAGAAACGGGAAAGGGGAAACTTTGCTATCAGTGTAATGGTAAAGTTCAGCTGCCTTTTAGGATAGCGACGCCCGGATTCTAATTTCTACTGCCTCTACCCAGCAGAGGATAGCTCATCTTCTCCACGGCTGATTAGACATTAAGCGCCAAGCGATTCGGAGCTGGTATCAAGGGGATGTGTGGCCAATTTTATCTTGGGCTGTTTGCCGACTGTCCTAAAAACCATTTTGTTTAGTGTTGGAATACATGCACAGAAAACAGTCTCTCTAACCTGCGTACATATGTTTTCCTACAGGTAAACTAAATCATAACCAAATTCCCTATAGTCGATGCGTGAACTCCCAACAGAAAAACAGCAAGATGGATATCCAGATGTAGCACGCTAATTACAATGCTAATGAAAACTCTGACAGCATCCTCTGAACGCACTTTGCATCTTTGCTTATGACAAATCTTTTATTCACGTAATGTATATAATAATTCACTTCGTCTACATCATTCCCCTCTCAGTTTTCGAGGCAATAATTTGCTCCGCGATCTCACATGATGAGCATTTTGCCGCAAGCAGAACGTTAGCAGTGTTTGGAAAATTTTTGAATGTTCTTCTATTTTACAACATATTGCCTAGTGCCTTATTAATATCCGAAATGGAAGAGTGAGACCATGCACCTTATTGCCACGGGGTTTAGTTATATGGTTGTCCACAGAATACAGTGCGATTGCGATTTTAAGACGTACCTTAACTAATCGCGATATGGTTACCTCATAAAGTAATACATACAGGGGCAATCTATTTAATGCGACTATTTTACCGAAAGTCAAAAACTGAACATACCTGATTTATGCGTCGTCGGTTCCCCGTGTGTACAGCGGTCCATTAAGAGAAGGAGTGTCCTTCCAAGAGAAAGCAACGCCGACAACGAATAAAGCGAAAAGTAAACAAGATATTTCGCCAACACAACGACCTTACAAGAGGGACAGAAACAAGGAAAGCATGGAGTAAATGAGTGAAATCATGCAACTGGCTAACATTTTTGTTGAAATACGGTTCAAGGTAAACCACTGATGTATATTTCGGTTCAGTATTCAGACAAGACTAGGTTCATTGGCCAGTATATAACTGTGGGTCTTGTGAAAGGAATTCGAACACAAAAGATTGTTTTCAGGAATACCACTGATTGCCAGAATCAACGGATTCTTTGTCTAACTTGAAAACCGATCCTTTTGAATAAGAGGATATGCCCATCCTGTAAAGTCCCAGTTGAATCCGGAAACTCATCTTTTCACACTTTTGTCAATAATGAGTTGATACACTTGTCTCGTTCTGGAAAAACCGGTCTCGAGAGAGCCCATCGCTTTATTCAGACTAAAAAATTCGTCTAAATTGCCAGCCTATCTTCCTGAACGCCGTCCATTTCATTCTTAGTGACCAACCAGACTGTGTTTGGTTTGATAATGATATCATCCTTTGTGTATATATAAAATCTCCCTACTTTCGAGGTTATCCAAGTTCGTTTCTTATCAAATGGTCTTTGATAAGGATTGATTCCATGTCTCTCCATATTTTGGGCCCAAGTGATTCTTTGATTGACTATTACGCTGCTGTTACCATGGTCGACTAAACTGGTTTCAGCTTGGCCTATTGTGACGCATTACATCGATATCCTTGTTTGCAGTGGGTGGAATAAAGGTTCTCAAACGCACTCGAAAACAACTTGAATTTCGTTTACCGAAGGAATTTCCGTTTCGGTATTTTTCTGGTTCCTCACAAAAAGATCATCCCACAGAAACAGCTGCCACTAGCTAATTCCTTTTGGCTGTCTTTACGGAAAAAGTTGACTTAAGTCGACTTCTAACATGTTGATAGCTAACCTTGATAGTTCGACTTTGCGCTGTTGGCAACCAATAATCTGTCTCAGTCCAGCATCATCACATAACTGCGACTGTCTAAAAAAACAACCGAGGTTTATTGGTTATAACCTCATCGCCTTGTATTCTACGAATTAATAACATACTTGCCAGTCGATGGCAAATCTCTGTCCAAAATTTAGCATATGTTTTATGTCTGTATCCCGAAAAGTCTCAGATTACGGGAGACGGGCTTTTAACACTTATATTCCTCAAACAAGCTTTCGACTTGCAAATTACTCAACTATCACCATGTCTACAAAATTCCGACATAGAATCGCAAAGCTTTCCTCTCCACTGTTGGCATTGCATGCTCAGGTTACTCAGGAGAAAAGCTTCAAAACTAGTTGACTTTGGTTGCTACGATTTTCTGTGCCATTTTTTAGAATTTTGAGTCTCGATAATATCACTCAGTCCTCCATGTGTATCTGTAAACAGGGAGGAAATACAAAAACTAAGATTCTGATTTCTGGCCGAAACCCGAACAGTGGCTCATTTTATAACATGTTTTTTCAGAGAGGTTCAGTAGTCGCTTGTTTTGGTTGTGTCAGATTAGCTGAAGTTGATCTTTATGTAAACGAGACACTGGGTTTATTTCATTGACCGCTTTCGTTGTCCCGATTGACCTACACTGAACTGAAAACGTGAAAATAGATTGTCATAACAACTACATTGAGTTCAACCAACTTGGGCTTCTAGGATAAGATGAGTCTTCAACCTCATAAGACTGGTGTAGTTAAGTCATATTACTTTAAGTTCATGGTCCTGACATGAAGGAGGTTTAACGACTAACAAGTACAAGTTCTGAGCATACCGATTCGTATCGTATCCACTCTCAACCGCAGCCACACTCTTCTTAGTCCAGTTAATCCTTCTGGTAACATGTAGTTTTACACTTAGCCTATTTCTAATAGGTTTAGAATGCATCTCCGACCCCATTGTCCTGACTGGTTACTTAGCATCCGGATACTTTGTCGCGAACTACTGAATGGAAATTTTTTAACAATCGTTAGTAAAAAAATCCTTAGTCGTTCGTGTCGTCGATAAAAAATCAAAAGCGGTGGTTGCAAACTGAATTAAAAAAGGTTTTAATTCATAGACGAAAAAATTCTCCAAGTACCTCCATAATTAGCTTGCTTTGAAATGGGTCTTGAAACCACCGGTCACTTGAGGCCGCGTCTGCAAGGCAGGAACTAATGAACTCCATAACCGGTGTGAATTGTCCGCGGCTTTGTAGCTGTTCTGACGTGAGCACATCCATGGGATCATACCTGTCATTTTGGGGTTACAAAAATAAAGAACTCAAGTGTCATCCCATTATCAGTAACTCGATCCACCTTTTTGTGATTCGTTAAAAACTCACTGGGCTGACGCAGAGAATAATAAATTTTCGGCTCTAATTTGAGCATGCTATGAGCTGAAATGAACCGCTTATACTATTGTAATTCCAAACAGATTTTAGAGAATTTTTTATTATTGCTCTATGTGTGGTTGACGCTCAGTTGTTTGCTATTTTTTTAATCCCTTGGCATACCACATACTAGTCTTTTAGCCTGAATGAATGTATAACAATCTGCCGCTTTGATAGGTTGAGTTCTGTATAAAAATCTGCTCTAGAAGTTCTAACAACAAACTACAAACTAGCAGTCAGGTACGCTGTTTGTTTACCAGTTCAATGCTTCTATAGTAACGCAAAATTAGTACTAATTTCAGCTTGACTCGCATTATCCTCTTATTGAAACAAATTATGTACTCACCCATCTAAACCATAGTTGCGCCCAATCTTCCTCCATAACCATACATATTGAATAGACTGCCTAGGTTCTTGCGGACTTTTATCCAGGTGCAGATGAAGTAACAGTTTGCAATGTACTGCACGGAGCTCTGCTGGTAGACGACAATCCTCTATACATCTACAATAACGGAAATAATGGTTGACGACTGAATTAGACCGAACACTGCGTGGATATTGGGGTTCGGATAATGATTAAAGCTACAACCCTACTAAAAGTCTTCTGTACAAATGATGCAAGCAGTAAGAAACATGGAACAGTCAAAATTTCGGTTGGGAGTCCTTACCAGCAAATTTGTTTTCAATGGGTTTTAAACGTAACTAGTCAGTTGAAATGAAGTACTGTGTTGAAAATTTATCACTGGATCAGTCGTGGATCAACGCCTAGTGATCACCTATAGTGGACGTAAGTGGATTATCGCAACGAAGATGGCCAAACATAACAGACTGACTAAAAAGTACATTCTGAGGAAGAGCCAGCCTGATGAACATCCTATTCGTCGGCTATACACAACTATGCTCAACTATTGGCACACTCGTTTAAACAGCCACTAGCTGTTCTGCTAATCATGTTAAGGTAGACTTCGCGCCATTCTGTTCGAGTTTCACTCATGGATTTACAAGTGACCAGAAGTGAAATCTTTAGATGGTGAGTTTAATGGTATCGCTGGCCATCCAGAATTCAAGGAGACGATTGCTCCCACTATTATTTTTATTATTATTATCATTACCATAATTATTTTGTATGTGCCATTAATGTGCGCACTAGGATTACCGGCTTGTGAAGTTGTATTTCTCTGAGCTAATAACATTAAATTCGGACACCTTTATTCAAAATTATTTTTTTCTGCCGAGTTGAATAAGCTGTTAAATAACAGGTGTCAAGGATTATTAGTCGGTATTACCCCATTTGTTGCGGTTTCTAGCTCTCGTAAATTACTCGTGCCTTACTGCAAAACAGTATTTGTACACTACTCATGCGGACCTAGTAATCCCCAGAAACTGATAATTAACTTCAGCGCTGTTCCATCGCATGCACACCAGAGTCCTGAAAATGTGGCGTTGGAAACCAACCAGCATATCCCCATTACTCAGTACGAGTGGTGCAACGCATTTCTTGTTGTTCTGTTCTGTGTTGCTAAATGCGCCCTTCAAATAAGTTAAAAATAAACGGACAGCGGGAGAATGAAACACATAGGAGTTGTGATCTTAGATGACAGCAGATATCATTCTACTAGTGTACTTCGTTGCGAGTAAACCTCACTCACAATGATAAAGTTTTGGCGGACCACACACGCTACAGGCACGCTTACCACCAGTACACCTTGAATGATTGAATTTGGTGATCTTC